CCTACCTAACTGCAGTATGATTTTGCAGCTGAGTCCCCTGCATTTATCTAATTTTATCATCTCATTATCAAAAACTCGATTTTAAAGAATTTTTGAGGTCAGTTTTCGTAGACTTTCTTGCATACCTAAGCGACCTGTGTTCAAATTGTATTACATGAGGCTGCATCTAAATCAGACACATACGGAGTGTGCGAAGTACAGTACTAAGTAGACCTAGGTATAACCTGGTTACTGGTTCCGGATACGCTTGAAAAATACCTCCTATACGTCTGTATGTCCCCCAAGATTTCCGTATATTAATACGTCGCACCAGGAGCATATACTATATGTATGCTTACCCTGTATCCCCAAAGGCTGAAATTCTGATGCAAGATTTTGGTATTTTTAGCTTCCAAAATTCTGTGCGATGCTGACTTTATTGTTTCCTCGGGGATCTCCGTAGCCATGTCGTAGAAATTAATGGTGTGCAATATAGCACTGCCCTGCCAAGTTGTACGTCATGGGAATTGATTAACTACATATAGGTTGGTAATTGGTGTCTAGCAGACCCCAGCGCTCGCAATTAGGGTACCATACGCGCCGCTGGCTTGGCAATTCGGTCATCGTATCGCCTCGCGTAACCATTGTCAAATCGTCAAGCATGAGGCTCAATATTACATCTAACCTGCGATACATATACATAATATACAGCAATTGAATAGTTACCCAATCAGGTCCTAAGTCCAAGGGATAGATAGAGGCAATAGATATATCCCGAGCAACATTGCCGGGTTCAAGGCCAGTAGAGATTTTAACCGCCTTGCACGCGCAAGCATTGCTAGTAGTAAATTACCCATTTTTGGTCTTTCTTCATCACTATGCGATTAAGCAACCCCATGGTAACTACAAATATGGAGCTTGATAATATCATTCTGAGGGATGGGAGGATGCTGCTGTATTGTTTGCCTATGGCGATCTAAAGAGAGTATCGAGGAGAGACACGACCAGATATGTATTTCGTAGGAACATAAAATAAGGCAACCACTTTTATCTAAGTATAGTGCCATCATAGATATGAAACATAAATGAAAGATAAACCTAGGCCAACCTTGGTCGGTCCATGCGATAGGTTTTGTGTAACGAGCCTATACACCTTTGACAGCTGGGATAAAGTTCCCTGTACCGAATCAAGATATGAGTCCACAATGATCACAGTAACTAGTGAGATCCTGCCTGGCAACCGCAAGGCATTGTGCGATGCTTAGATTTTGGAACCTATAGTTAACTAACGGTGAGCTTGCTGCACTTCAATATAAACTAAATTTCGCACTTGTGGTTAGATTTTGCAGCGCGGGGAGCATTCCCGCTCACCACGCCATAGCCACGGGGTACGGTATCCAACGGGGTACGGTATCCACGGGGTACGCTATCCAACGGGGTGTATCCACGGGGTACGGTATCCACTGGGTATTGATACCAATGACTTTACTTCAAGGGCCAGTGAGCTTCTGGGTCTACATCCGGCTGTATGCTTTATGTCTATAAATGTTGATCAAATTCCCTTCAGTTTCAATCCTCCATCCCCACCGCAATTCAGTTGAACAGCTCAGTTCGAAGGTCTTGAAGCACTTCACCTTAAATTCTATCAACCATTTCTACGGAATTCTTCACGTGTGAGTCCCCCCAATCTCCCACCAATATGAGTAACCTTCCAGACGGCCTTAACTGACGCCTAAGCAGCACCTAGTGTCCCAAATCCCAATCGAGATGCAACTCACCACCGTCTTCACCATCCTCGCCGCCGCCGCCTCCGTCACCTCTGCCTGGGAATTCACCGGCTATCGTGACCAGTCATATAAAGGCGGCGTGATCATTTACCGCTCCGGCAATGGCCTCGTCAACAACCTTTGCGTCGACATTATCACCAACGATAATAAGATGTCCTCTTTCAAATGGTACCGTGGTATCAACATTGGCTGCAGCTTCAAGTTGTTCAATGGCCATGGATGCAAGGGCACAAAGCTTGCTAGCTCGACTGGGAACTGGAACGTTCCAGCGATTAGTGCGGCAAATAATGATAAGGCTTCTAGCTTGTGGGTTGATTGCTTGTAAGCTTTTTAAGAACCTGCCTTGATGTGATTGTAAGGTGTTGGGATCGGGGGATCGGAGGAGCGGAGGCAATGTATATGGGTTTGGGATGGTTATTAGCAAGTTTAGAATATCGATTACGGTTTTGGGCTTTGGGTACTGATGCTGGGCTTCTCGTGTTACATTGGGTTTTGTGCAAGGTTACTTCATGTGGTTTCGGTTCCTCTATCAATGTTAATACTTGATTTTTGGCCAACAGAATCTCTCCTCCGTTCCCGTGACCATGACGCTCAATCGAGATTCATAATCTTCCCCTGACGTCAACCATGTCTCACCGGCTCCGGCTATGTAGATCGTTACCTCATCTACTGAGTTCTATCTTGTACAGCACCAATCTCGCATCGTAGTAGATTATTTTTGATTGCAGAAGGCGGTAGCTCCTCATTGCCCTCTGCTTATATTACTGAAAAACGTGCGATCATTTCCTCTACTGGCCACGTTTCTAATATCTATTTTTATTAATTCGGGGAAAGCCTTCAATCTCAGCAAATGCAATTCTCCATTCGGTACACTAAACTTATGGAGGTGACTCCACAGGCATCCTATGTCTGCTTTGGCGGGGTGAGCTCCAGGAACGTCGATGGTGGAACCCTGGTGGCTTGCCCTTGCACAGTAGGTAGTGACTCTGCCAGAGTACCCTTCATTTCCTTGGGAGGTGTGAGTTCCAAAGGCTTAAATATCTGCGTTGGGATCTTAGTGCCTGGTACCGGCGCTGGCAGATTGTTGGATTGAGTCATTCTTCTTGGTTTGTGTTCAAGCAATTGTGATGGGATTATGGTTGTAATTGTGATAGGTGATAATTGTATTCCTGTGGATAATGTACTTATAATAATCGTGGGGGACCAGTCTGAGGAGGCCATGACCAATTACAAAGTTATCAGAGTAAACCATGGCCTTAAGATACCAGTATGCCCTGAGATGTGAAGCGACATCTAGCAGTTCGGATTACCTTTCGTAATCACACTATTCTCCTGCATACATAGGGAGAATCCGAAGCGGAACGGGTCGGGGGCGTCGATGCCGTACACAAAACAAATTTTCCCACGACGTCAACCATGCTACTTACAAGTATCCAAACTCTTGTAGTATATAGGCAATGTACGAGAACGTTAGCTACGAAGTACATTTCACCTCGCATACGAGTAAATAAAATACCTACCAGATTGCTCTCGGTAAAGTATTCGTAAATACTGTTTCGTTTCCCCGAGAGTTGATTATTTCGAAAGTAACGACATTCACATGACAGATCTTTTGTGCATAAGTATTCTCTTTCGGAAGCAGTAGGGACTCTCGTCATTGTTGACTGGGAAAGAAAATCCAGCAACCGATATAATGCGCATGCATAGTCGCCAAGGCCAGGGCTCGACCTCCTTATTCATAATATCAATATTGTCATTACTAGTAGTCCATAACTGCGCATCAATTTGGTCAGCGGTAGCTGCTTCCTGTACCTCCTATGTCATCGTCAAAAAGAACGCGACTGAAACCATTTTTCTGGTTATGTGCAAAGTCATGAGTGGATTGCTTACTCATGAAGCTATACAGCTCATATGGTTACTATTCGCAAACCCCACTCTATTTGATGAATCCTAGGTAATTTCACTGATCATGCACATTTGTACCAATAATATACACGCTCATTCCTGGCAATGTAGTATTTGATATATGAACGCAAAAATATATCTTATTTTTCCTATGGGTATTTCTCCTCTATCTATTCTACCAGGAATAGTCTGTGGACATAATTCTTGATAAAACACCGGGCCAAATTGCACTTCGTAGAGTCCTGAATAATGGCACTCATCTTATGAATTTGGGGAACTTGATATGGACTTGCTAAATCTAGTTTATAGGCGAGAAATGTAATATTCCCAGTCCAGTTTAGCGCAATTTCCGCTTTATTATGAAATAACTTCAACTCTACAGCCCACTGTGCCTGGCCAGTGTTCTTGAGCCCAGACCGATTTACTTAGGGTCCTGGTAAGACCTTTCAACTTAGATGAACAAAAAAAAAAATAGAAACGATAAAATATGCTCTACTCTTATGGTTATCTAGCAAACCTTGTTTATAACAATTTTCCCAAAGTGTCACTTTCGGTGCAGTTTGTGTTCAAAAAAAAAAAAAGGTGCAGTTTGCTGTTTTACCAAGACTTACGCCCACGGACTGTACCTCATAAGGAGTCTCAGCCAACATCGCATCATGCAAGGACAAAGGCTCAATACTGTCCTCCTCCACCGGTCCAGGTCTGGCTCTCAGATATGGCGTACATATACTCGTGGCTTTCTGGACATTGTAGTTTGTGGTAGTTGAAGCAGGTGCTTGCTGACAATAGCATGAAGTACTGGACTCACCTTGGCGATGCCTGGTTGTTGGAGTGCTGGTGTACATGTTTGATGTAGTCTGAACTTTCGGTGCAGTTTGCTGTTTTACAAAAACTTATGCCCACGGACTGTACCTCATAAGGAGTTTCAGCCAACATCGCATCAGGCAAGGACAAAGGCTCAATACTGTCCTCCTCCACCGGTCCAGGGCTGGCTCTCAGATATGGCGTACATATATTCGTAGCTTTCGGGACATTGTAGTTTGTGGTAGTTGAAGCAGGTGCTTGCTGACAATAGCATGAAGTACTGCCTTGGCGATGCCTGGTTGTTGGAGTGCTGGTGGACATGTTTGATGTAGTCTGATTGTTTGATCTGACAAGTTACTGGCGCCACATTACTTTTACAGTATAATTCATGGTCATAACTCTATGATGTACTGATGCAAGTATGGCCCTGCTTTGTGCTGACTCAAGGCCATATTCATAGCCACCTTATCAATCAATAAACCATAAATTTGCCACAAAGAAATAGAAGGGGATCAGCAAAAATAGAGGTCGAACTGGGAGTCGAACCCAGGTCACAAGAATGTTGATGCCTAATCAAAATCTTATGTGCTACCGTTACACCATTCAACCAATTCGGTATATTAATTTGTGGAAATTTTTACATGTATGCAATTATAGTTGGGTAGGCTCATATCATGGTCTAGCCGAATGGATTTTTTTTTTTTTTTTTGAACTCAGTACTCGACTCGTATGCACAACATTAAGGGTCGTATGACGAGCCACTCCGGAAGCCTGGGTGGATTCAAAGTACGTACAAGTTAATCTGCACGAACGGCAGAGAGAGAGAAATGGACCCTATGGTCCCGCATAAAACAAAGTGTAACCACTCGCAGGTGTGATTGTCCTTTCTCCCAACGCCTTCCCGCAGGTATGAAAACAATACACAAACGCTCCACACTCTCAGCAGCCCTTTCCCTTCTCCCCTGATGGTCTGTCCCAGTCGTATTCTGAAATCCTGAAGCGCCTTCTGGCCATACGTAAGGTCCCGCAGCTGATGTCTATGTTATGGGCTAAGTAGATAACAAGCGACGAAGCCAGTTTCCCGACTCTTCTTTGTTTACCCAGTAGGTAGTTAGCGTATTCTCAGGATTTGAGTGTCGTTGTCTTCCTCGATCCAGCGGCGCATGAGACCAGGCTTATACTTCGAAGGGGCCGCATGTAGAACTACGGCTCGTGTCTGCCGGATAGGGAGTGTCGTAAAAGTCTACCGAAGGTCTACTATACTCTAGAGGTTCCCAGATGAGGTAGAACTGGTAAGTAATGGATACCTCGTAATTTACCGCATCCTGTACCTTAGGTGCTTGAACGCCGATGGTTATATGCATGTGCAAAAGTCTCCCAGTCTAGTCTATCAGATCATCTATAGTCTGGCGGGCACCGGCCCCCGTAGAGATCGTTTAGTGCATCTTCTTGCTTCAGATTGGAAATTCTTCCAACTCTCTTGTCCCGATTGGAAAATGCCAATGACAATGACAAAAATTTCAGTGTTCTCAACCGGCCCGGCCGCCGACCAGGCCGCCTGAAGCCTGGCCTGGGGCCTAGGTCTTGGCAGGCCTGAAACCGCCTGGGCCGGCCCCGGCCTGCCTGAATAGCCTGGACCGGCCTCAGGCTGGCCCAGGCTATTCAGGCCGTAATCAGGCCGTCCAGGCTATTCAGGCCGTCCAGGCCATAGTCCAGGCTGTTCAGGCTATTCAGGCTATTCAGGCCATGGTCCAGGCTATTCAGGCCATGCCCAGGCTATTCAAGCGGCAGTCCAGGCTATTCAGGACTGTCGCTTAAGAGTAATTAGCATAAAGTTGTAGCTGTATCTGTTGCTATCGGGTCAATCCACTTGAAAGCAACGGTTGTATCGGGACCACATACGAGTACAGAGTATTTAAAAAAAAAAAAAAAAAAAAAAAAACAGCAACGGTTCTATCACTTGTCGTGGTAAGTATGTAATCTATAATATTTCAACAAAAAAAAAGTACGTTAACCTATGTGCAAGATTATGGATAATATTGACTTGGATTGAGAATGCGAAGGCTAAAGTACAGTTGTTATGGGAGACTACGTAAGTATGTGCCTTACCCTTTAAATCTTATTGTACTAATTATACTACTATAGATATAAAGACACTGGCCAGCTGGAGAAAGTAAATCATTAGCGGAATCAACTGGGACCATCGGTCCAAGTACGGAGAGCACCGAATCCACTTTGCGCTTGTGGAGATCTAAGCGAGCACCTAGAATTCGACAAAAAGATGAACTCGATGACTTCATCTCCTCCACTATCATTGATATTGAGAACCCACGACTGTGGTGGATTCAACACCAAAAGGACTACCCACGACTATCCAGAATGGCGCTTGACATTCTAGCAATTCCGGCTATGAGTTCAGAGGTAGAGCGTGTGTTTAGCAGTACAGGATTGATGGTGACAGACCGGCGGAATAGGTTGAAGGAGGATATTATTGAGGCAGTTGAGTGTATGAAGTCATGGCGTATTGATGGTGGAATTATTGCGTTTAAGGATGCAGAGCAGGTACAAGCCATGTTAGATCAACTAGAGGCAAAAGGTATTCGTGATAAAGATACCGATTCGTAGTTTAGGTAGCTAGTTATTGGTTCTTAAATTGAGCTCTCGATCTTTTCTAGACCGTCGTGCGGAACAGGCTATTCAGGCTATTCAGGCCCAGGCCTTCCTTCAGGCCGGCCTGCCTTACCGTGTCCCAGGCCGGCCCCGGCCTTAGCTTCGCCTGGCCTGGCCTGGCCGGTTGAGAACACTGCCACGGTGACGGACTCCGACTCCGAAAATTCCATCCTCCAATGGTTTCTCCTAGATCACCACAACGTGGACAATTAAGGACATCGGTTATTATAGACAAGACCCTTGCTCGATTCCTGCAGCTCATGTTCTGTGGCTCTGACAAATCACGGTGTGAATTTAAAGAATCTCTCCTTAGAATTTTGCAGCTTGAGGAGAGTCCGAAACCTAGCTATTCGCTAGATAACATTGCCTTCGTCTGTCTGACCCACTCCTGCTGGCTCTTCATCCTCTGTACTACTGTATTTCACCACGAACCCGGGGACACCACGAGCTCGCGGTAGTTTGCCACCAAAACTCCACAACTTCAACGGGCGATATCTCAACACCACAACTATCTATACGATTCTAAGTACATAAGATGAGAGTATAAGGCTAATTGATCATGATTAGGAATGAATAACATAAATTGCGGAATACACGCTATCTGCATCATAGTCACAATCTTGTTGTCCTTTCAGCTCTGCCGACTCTTGCTGATCTTCTCCGCCTTCCAGGTCCAGCTCTTCGTCCAACTCATATGGTAAGCTGTCCAACTCATCCAGCTCTTTCTCTAGCTCCTCCTGACTTTGCTTGCGCTTCCTTGTCCTTTTCCCTTTCACCTCATCCTCTCTAAGGTAGGCAGTATGTGTAGCTTCTATATTGTTAATCCAAGTTGTATAAAGTGCAGCAGCGCCTTTATAAATAATTATTGGTGAAATAGCTCGTCCATCACTAGATATAGCTTCTAGGATTGTAGCAAGTTCACGGTTACCATGGTAATATCTTCAGTATATAACAGCATCATGAGGTACAATACATTATACAACTAATAAAACAAACGTTGAGTATGTCTACCTCCTTTCTATTTCCCTTAAATCGAATAATTTTACTACTAGTAGCAATTTCTAGCATAACTCCTTTCTCATCCATATTGTAGATATTTTCTGACAACAGATTATATTCTGTATATGTATCATTATACTAAACTTAAGTTAGTAACTATTTAAAAAACAAGTTAATAGTACTTACTAAGGTAAAGAAACTTTCAAAAGTTTCATAGGTGGTAGAGAATTGACATTCTTAATTCCTTGCTTTATGAAATATAGACTCTAAATCAGGTTCTCTTGCAATAAACTGAATAACTCAATTTTTTCCTGGTTTTTGGACTGTAATGACTCTGCTACCTCTCGAACATAGTCATTCATCATTGACTGAAAAACACCAAGCATCCTTTCTCATAATCATTTTCTTCACAGTATAGTGGTTGTAAAGACTTGTGACTCTCTTGTAGAGTTAAGGTACTATCTGCTCGGTCTCTCAGTATTAATTCTACTATTCCATAGATAAATGCTATTCTATGAATACTTCCTAGAGCTTTAGAGCCATGCAAATAATCATGGAGAGTGGCTTGAATACTTCTTCGTTTGGCATTATATTGTAGTTAATGAGGTGCTGATTACACTCTCTACCGGGTCATTTTCCACAGATTTATAGATTTGCTACTCCTCTTAATTTGAGTGACAACAGTACAATTTAGTAGCTAGCATGAAAAAGCCACAGATGCACGGTGCTTTTTGTGGTGTTGAGATATCGCCCGTTGAAGTTATGGAGTTTTAGTGGCAAACTACCGCGAGCTCGTGGTGTCCCCGGGCCCGTGGTGAAATACAGTATAGGACCAGGACTCCCAAAGTTAAGGAACACGTTTACTTGGAAAAGATGCCCATCACTGTCATTATTCTGTCATGATTTAATTGACGTCTATCAATTTAAAACTCTATATTCTCAGGCTAACCGTTTCCCAATGGCAAATCCAATGGTACCCTAGATCTAGGCAATCGCAACATTTGTTTGAGAGGTCGTGACTGTGATGTCTGAACGAGTACAGCGCTACCAGAGCGTTCCGATATATCTTGCAACAGCAACCACTACAATTGCAATGCTACATCTATAATTCTTCCATAAAAACGCAAAGATTCTCCGTTATGACTGCAGTTTACCTAACTTGTTGCTTCAATTAATTGAGCAGTTGGACCCCTGTTCATGAACGATAGCCGGACTACTTGAAGCACAGTGCATATTTCTAGTTCTAGCTCCAGGATTCAGAGTTATCAAACAAGATATCTGAAAAAGAGCTAAAAGAGCTAAAAAAGTTTAGGACTTACGTCAGAGTCGTTAGTGGGTATTTGAGATTTGTCAATGAAGTTACGCTTGTAAGCGTTCGCCATCTTCCATAAAATATATACATTCGCTGATGCATTTGGAATCGCGGAGGACAGTTGAAGGGAGGTGATTTTTGTTTCTTCAGTTCGCTGGTTGCCCAAGCTCATCTCCACACGGCTTGGTGGTAACTACAGGGTATTGAGATGATACAAAATCCGATTTTGTAAAGTATCGTATTGGTATAATTGCACTTCCTTTATGTGATACCTCTGGTGATGCTATATTGAATGAAATGGCTTTACTGGACCTTGGGCGATTGCGCAACTCCATTGCCCCATATTGCGGACTCCAAAACTCACTATCTCTTCTGAATACGTCTCCTGGACTACCTCTAACTCCTAGCTGCTTTATGACTGAGATATTGTTTGCCTATCAAGGCCGGGGATGGGCGTCCTTTTCCCTCACTGAGTTCTCCTTTGACCAATTAGTAGTAAAGTACCTACGGTTTCAAGCCTTTGAGCATCTTCGAGCCCCAATTCCAATTTAAGACGTGTTCGCAGCCGCACCAATTAATGCAGTATCTCAGAGGAGGTATTTTCCGAATGTTCTAAGTGCGGTCGGAA